AGGCATTTAGTCCTTCTCCAAGACAAAGTCCTAATAGTTTCAACATTGCAGAAAAGTCCAAGTCCAAAGTCTTCTCTGAGACTTAAGGCTAACTCTTAGCCACAAGCCCCTGTACAAAGGAAAAGACAGTTAAACACTTCCAACATTCCTTTGCACAAGAGAGACATTTCCATTCCAAAAGTTACAAATGGAGATGGCAAGGAAAGGGACCAAAGCAAGTCCAAAATCCAGCAAGGCAATCAAGTCCTGTCGTTCCATGTCCACATCCAGGGCAATCTGTGACAAGATGTGAACTGCAAAGAGCTTGGGTGGTTGTGCCCCTACAGCACTGCTGGTGGATGTAGCTCTCATGGCTTCTCTCTTGGGAGAGCTCTTCTACCTCTTTGCAATTTTCTTTGGAAAATTCGTGTTCCTGACCTCCAAATTTCTGGGATCTCCACTGTACCTTCAACTTCTTGCCCACAGCTTCACACACATGGCCTCCAGGTCTTCTTCTGAAATCTGGGTGGAAGCTTGCTTTTCTCACCTTATAATTCTTGCATTCTATTTACAGTCACACCAGCGATATGAGGATGATGCCAGGGTCTGCCACCAGTTGGATCAGTAGCCAGGCTTCTTTCTCCCTTACCTGTAGAGGTCAAGTGCCTGGGTTTCTGAGCACTCTGAACCCAATCCTGAGGAACAAATTCTCTAGGCCACCACTACTGGGGATCCCTGCAGTGGGTTCCAATCTCCTGCTCAGTGCTACAGCACAAGGGGAGAATAAAAAGTTAAAGAAAAATTGAAAGAGACAGAGAAATGGGGAGCCATGATGATCAGTGCTAAACAAGCAGCAAAAGACCCTGTCCAGCCAAAGCCATTGATATCTATTGGTGACATCACAGTTAGGTCAGAGTAAAGGGGCTGTGTTTAGTTGCTAGGGATACATTGTTGATGCTGGCAAGGCTTGTAAAGGAAGAGACAAAATATTCTTGAATTAGGAAGAGAACAGACAAAATATAGGTTGTGGTTAATAATTAACCTTGTCTTTTTAGTAAGGAAGGTTTTAATTCCAGCAGCAGAATTTTGGTGCAAGTCACTCTGACCTCAGCACATAGGTTTTAGCCAGGCTCACACCTATAAGCAAGCCAGTTCCAGGTTTATACTTTACAGCCTGCACTTCTCACGGCCTGCTTTGAGCATAATCAACAGGACATTGTGCCAAATACTAGTATTCTGGAACATGGTGCTCCGGGGCTTTCAAAGAAGTCTTGTACCTTTGCATGTCTGAGGCTGCAAAGTCTAGAGTCCTGCTGATTCTTGTGATGTCCTGACCATCTTTTCTATTGTTTTCTTCTGAAATACTTGACTTTTCCTTGCTAGTCTTTTCAGGGACCAATTTCTCCTCTGTTCCATTTTGCAGACCACAACTTTGCTGGAGCTTTCTTTCTGATCAAGCACAACATTTTGAATTATTCTGCTGGACTCTTTGCTCAACATAAATCTGGCTAAAAGCCCCATTAGTAGCCATGTCACTGTCTCTACATTAGACTGTCTTGAAATTTCTTTTTAAAGATTAATTAACCCATTGCCTTAATCTCAGTCTCAGGAAAAGTCTCTGGACATGAGCAAACTGCAAACAAACTTTCTGCCAAGGCACAAAACTCATTGTCTGGAGTCCAACAACCAATGTAGTCCTTCTTCCAAGCAGAAATTTCCTGAGCTGGCCTTTACCAGGAGCCTTTCTATCACAGTCCAGTCTTTTGAGCTCTGACAAGAATCTCCCATCAAGTACAGCCTCAGGTATTCCAGGGCTGTTTTTCCAGCTGGCATCTCCAAACCTTTACAAACTCATCCCCCAAACCAGTTCTGAAAGCTCCTGGACCACATGGTCAGGTGGAGTCACAGCAACAACCCCACTTCTCTGGTACCAAATTTTGTCTCAGCTATTATTTCTCACTGCTGAGACAAAGTACCCAATACTCAAAGTTAAAGGAGAAAAGCTTTTTTTGGCTCACAGTTTGTAGAGGTTTCAGTCCACAGACAGCTGGTTTCAAAGCAGGATGGCATGGTAGAGGGACAGCACAGAAGAGAAGTAGTCCACAGCAAGCAGCCAGGCAAGAGCACATTAGCCTTATGTTTTATGTGACACTCATACCCTTAATCCTAGCAAGAACTATGCCAAACCAATAAGTGGACTGATCATCATAAACCCTTGATCCCAGCACCACACATTATATATCCATTTACTTTTGAAAGGCTCACCCCCCATGACTGTATGAGGCTTTGGGGGAATATCTAGACCTAATCCATACATGAAATTTGTCAGTATATTCAATACTGAGCTGTATGAAGTATAATTTCTTAGACTTTCTCAGCTGAAAATGTCTACAACTTTGTTTTGCATAATTTATATAACAAGTGTAATTATTTCCTTTTAGTATGGAATGTATTTGACAATTGTCTTGAGGTATCTGTTCATTGTATAAACACTTTCTATTTGCCTAAGTTTCCTTACTCTGTAAGTACTAGGTGTTCCTTTTTTGTTGTTATATAAGTTGTTGTAAAAGTTTTATCTTTTTTTTTTGGTATCTGTAATATCAGTAAGGTATGTCTGGGTGAGGGCTTCTTTACAATTTCTAACACTATATTTTAGTTAGAATATGCTTCATTTATTTAAAAAAATAGTAACTTTCCAGATATAGTGGTATAGGTCGGTAATCTCAACTACTTGAGAAGTTGAGGCAGCGGAATCTTGAGTTCCAACTCCAGTACTGAAAATCACACACACACACACACACACACACACAAACACACACTACTTTGCTCATTACTTCTAGAACTCTTTCAAATACATCGGGCCAGGTGTTATGGCACACTCCTATAATTCGAGAACTGAGGCAGGAGGATTGCTAAGTGTTGAAGACCAGTCTGGCCTTCCTGGTGAGATCACATCTTAAAGAAACAAAAAAAGAAACACACACACAAACCCACATCATATTTTATTACAGTAGTGAAGGGCTTCTCGCAGTCCTCGCAGTCCTCGCAGTCCTCACAGTCCAGCTACTACTGCTCTCTGACCTCCTGGTTAATGGTGCCCTTGAGCCACAGATTTTCTCTAAAGCACTCACACTGAAGTGCTCACTACATCAGAGGACCTTTATCAGACTCTTTCCTGAGATGCTGTGAATCCCTGTTCTTCTGCCAGCTGGCAGGAAAGCTTCATGCACCTCTCTCCTGGGGTCCTTTTCTTCTTTGTCAACACTGAATGCTTTCAAGCACTTGGAGCGGTTGCATTTTTATCATGAAGTGTTTGAGGATTTTTTTTGAGGTCTGACCATTTCATTAGATTCCTGCTCCACGATGCCAGTGTTTGAGTCTCTGTGTCTTACTGGCAGTCACTAGGCACTCAGGAAATTGTGCACAGACTGGAACCAGTCAGGGACTTCCAAAACATCGGGGCTTTTGGCAGTAGTTTTTCACTGCACTTCCTTCCCAGGAAATGAGTTTACTCTTCTTTGCTGCAGATACTTAGCACAGTGAAAGGCTTTGGATAGATCTCTCTTCCAGGCAAAATAATGCATACAGTTTCCATAAACCACAAGTGCTTCTCGCTCATTAGATATCTTCCCACTTTAAGTTTTACAAATCGTATGTGACTTACAGCTAGAGAATGTGCTACCCACTCTAGTCCCCTATAGTTAAACTTCTAGAAAAAACTAAGCAAGTTTGAACATCATGATGCCTCTCAAAACAAAATAAGAAAATGAATATTTCCTCACACTTGAACCAAAAAAATAATAATTCTCAAGGCACTTATTTGTCAAATATTTTCAAGCCCCTTATTAGTACAGATCCCTGTATTAGGCCATCACAGTACAATGAAAATAACAAAAATCAATCTAGGATCCTCTTGTCTGAGATTAGGTTCTATGTGGGAAACATAATTTCTTTTCTTTTCTCTTTTTTTCTTTTTCTTTTTCTTGTACTGTGGGTTAAACCCAGAGCTTTCACACTGAACTACATCCCCACCCCTGTTTTACTTTTTTATTTTGAGACAGGGTCTCCCTAATTCACTAAATTGCCCCAGCTGGGCTTGAGTTTGTGATCCTCCTGCCTCAACCTCCCAGAGTGCAGGATTACAGGTATGTACCAATGCACACTGCTGAGAAACATTATTTCAATACTGAAAGTATTGAAATATTGAAATATTTTGTGCAGACAAAATATAATTTTAAATTTTATGAATAAAAGATATGATTTCTTGGGAATATTTAACACATTAATATAAACTATAGGTGCTGAGGATGGAGAAGGCTTAGTTCACGAGTGACTCTTTAAAAGGCTAACTATGTGTAGGGGTTAATTTGACAAAGAGGGAAGGTGAAAGCCTTTCAAGAAGAGATGTTACTATGTGCAAATGTCCTATAGCAGGAAGCAGACTGGCAATTATGAGGGCATTAAGGAAAACCAAAGAGATTTAAGAACAGAAATACAAAGGGAGATTTAGTAGAGTTGAAGATGGAGAGATTTTTGAGTAAGACAGAGACATATACTAGAGCTGACTCATATGGGCTATGAAAAGGGCCATTATATTTTCTGAAACACAACTGTTATAATTTTGCAGATTATCTGATGTTTTCTCATTTGCAGCATGGAAGAAATGTTCTCATGTAACTTTCTTCATTCTGAGCAGAAGTCTTTTTTTAAAAAAAAATCAGTTCCATTTTTGCACTGGGATTCTATCTTTAGTGGGTAGCGTAGATCCAGAAATAGAATTTGCATACATAGTGCTTGTGTTTTAGGGATGTAAAATTGTATTTTCAAACTGTTAGCACTTCGTTTGACAATAACTATTTTGTAAGTTAAGACTGAAAACTATAAACAGCAATGGAATGCACAAGTCTTCATCACTCCAAAGTCCCACAACAGATTACAGTCAGACAAAAAAAAAACAATGTGTTTCTGGTCTACTTGCTTTGGGTCCTTCTTCAACACAATTACCTTGTCCTTCCCACCAGGTTGTTGAGCAGATTGATTCCCTGACCTCCGACCTGCAGCTGGAGGATGAGATGACCGACAGCTCCAAAACGGACACCTTGAACAGCAGCTCCAGTGGTACCACAGCCTCCAGCATAGAGAAGATCAAAGTGCAGGCCAGCGCACCCCTCATCAAACCCCCGGCACACCCGTCCGCCATCCTCACAGTCCTAAGAAAGCCAAAGCCTCCGCCGCCTCCACCACGGCTGACACCTGTGAAGTGCGAAGACCCACAGAGAGGGGTGCCCACTGCCCATCCTGTGAAGACCAATGGCACTCTTCTGCGAAACGGGGGCTTGTCCTGTGGACCTAGCAAAATCCCAAACGGAGACATCTGCTGCATGCCCAGTCTTAATCTGGACAAGACTTCACTACAGCCTCTGATGCATAGACCTGAAAAAGACAGGTGTCCCCAGGCAGGGCCTCGGGAACGAGTGCGGTTTAATGAGAAAGTACAATACCATGGCTACTGTCCTGACTGTGACAACCGATATAACATGAAAACCAGGGCAGTCCACTCGCACAGCGAGCCTGTCCATCCCCCAGGAAAGACTCCGCACCAAGGGCCGCCGCTCCCTTCTGCCCCCCACCTCCCTCCCTTCCCATTAGAAAATGGGAGCCTGGGAATCAGCCACAGCAGCAGTTTTCCCCCTCTCAGACCTGCAACTGTGCCTCCTCCCACTGCGCCAAAACCACACAAGACCATCCTGAGGAAGTCCACCACCACCACGGTGTGATGTATGCCATTTTAAAACTTCTTGGCTCTTAATTTCTATATCATTATCATTAAATAATAAGTAATGAGCACTTTCTACTCAAGCAATAAAAAGCTCAAATATATTAATCCTGCATTCAACAAAGTGGCATAAAACCAACTGGTAAGTATGCAGTGCGTTGCTTATATCCTGGGTTTACAGTATTTTAAATGTTAAATAATCAAAACAGCAGAATCATGAAAAAGTATAAATGCATTGTTTTTGCAATTGCACTATGACAAAATATGACTTTTCAAATTTCAAATATTTTGATTTGTTAAAATATCCAGGATGATTCACTTTATTCATGGTTAACTCATCTATGCATTAATAACATGTCATATTCTTAACTTTGATCTGATGCTTTTTAATAAGAAATTTAAAAAATGAAGGACTATTTTATTATTTTTTCTAAAGATGTTTGTCACTAGTTTTGCATTTGAAAATGATATCAAAAAGTTTATTTTCTATACTATACAATTATATGTTCCGCTATATATGTAATAAAATATTTTGGTTTGTGGAAACATCATTATGTCAATAAATAATAGTAAATAATGCCAAGACCAAATGTTCCTCAGAATTTACCTGAAGGGCCACTTTATTTAAGTGAATGACACTGTTTATTGAAACGGGTAGCAACTCTGACCATTTTGAGAAGATCACAGTAAGCATATGTCAGAATCTTCTAAATCATATCTTACAATCCATGTCATAAATATACCTTTATATACTTGCATATTATATACCTCTGTCATGGTACTTCAAGAAGCCTTGTTAAACTCCCGTATGTTATCCCACCCTTTTGATTTTCCTGCCCTCGCCACTCATCCAGGACACACTGTAGGGGGAAAAATTGCCTCCTGTGTCAGCAACCTCCGCCTCCTTCACAGAACTCACAATTTTAGGAGAATTAAGAAGACATAGATGTTTCTGATAACAGTATGTGTTCTGCGTAAGCCTTAACCTTGTTTTCGTCAGAATTGAAAGATGCTTGGCTCTTTGATATTCCACAGAAGAAAGAGTAGAATCCTCTCCTTCTATCACCAAACAGAAGTCTTCCTCTTCATCCTCATTTGCCAGCCAAGGAGACTTATGTTCCCTTGGGTCAGTCAAGGGTTTGGACTCATGAGATTTTTTTACCTTGGGGCTAGAAATGAGTTTATCTCCCTACAGCGGTGGTGAGGAAAGGTCTCTGAAAAAATTTGGACCATTAAGTGGTAAGAGTAGAGGGAATTGCCTCTGATGAAAATTTATTCATTGTGTGCATTGCAGAATGCAGAGACCTTCTTGAAAACTTGACTCTTGGTTTCAAAAACCAAATATCTCTGCTACTCAAAGGCAGTCTACTTGTCCAGGCTGTCTCATGGTAATTTGTAACATTATTTTTAAGCCAATTTCTATATATGGTAATGTATTTGGGTACAACCTAAAAATGGAGTAGGTTTTATTTTTAAAGGCATGATGAAGTCAGTGAAAACATAAATAAATGACTGACTTACTGTATGTGAAAACAATGTCTTAACATTTTACTACATAGTCTTGATATAAGCAAACCCAGGTGTCTTCATTTTTGTTCAGTTAAATGATTACTTCTCATGCCTCAGCATTGGGACTGTTCAAGATTATAAACAACTACAGACAGAACTTTCTTCCTTTAGCCTATGTTCTTTCTTCAGTCTGTTATTGTACTCTAAAATTCATCATATATTTTGAGACCTTGCCTCTTGTGAGTGCCTAGAAATTAAGCTGGGTCCCAGAGTAGAGCTTTCTTGCAATCACAAGTTAACTACAGAGCAGATAATTTGCTTGAAATTTACTGAGTTGAATAAATTGAATCATTCAAGCTGACTGAAAAAGGACATTAAGCCAGATGCCTAAAATATGTTTCAAAGGTTCAAATCCATTTCTCCTTAAAGTACAAAGTGTCCTGATAAAAGACTGTGTTTTCTGTTTGGTGGCTTATGCCAAAAGTGCACCTGTTTTTTGTTTTTTTTTTTTCATTCAATACGTTTATAACTAACCATTGATATGGAAAGCTGAGTTAAATCTCAACCCAAAAATGTTACAGTTAATGACTTTACCTTCCTAATACAGTTTATTTATTTATAATCAATAAATGTTCGATGAGAACAGTATTGAGCTTTCCTTTGAGTTCTTTATTCTAGGTTATTTCAATTTGCATCAATATAGAATATATTATACCAGTGTGGTTTTTGCTTTTCCAACTGGTAATCTAGCAACATTCTCTGGAATTTAAGTTTTGTTTTATTTTAGTTTTTGGTTTTTGTGGTATTAGAACTTGAATCCAGTTCCTCACCCTTTTATTATTATTATTACTGCTTTTTTGTTTTGTTTTGTTTTAACTTCTGACACAAAGCCTTGCTGAGTTGCTTCATCTGGCTTCAAATTCGTGATTGTCCTGTAACAGCCACTAGGATGACAGGCATGACCTATGCCTGTCAGCAGTTGTTTTTAAATATGAATAAATTTTTAGTAACTGAGAAGCAGTTAACATTAAGCATGATAATATTTTCCTGAAACTTGTAATTCAAGAGTCATAAAATGAAGCACAGTTTTTGTAATCAGTAAACACTGCTTTCAAACTTTAAATTTTGAAGTGGAAGCCCTGCATATAGTCCATTAAATCATAAATTATGATATAACTTTCCTTTTCCTAGCAAACTTAAACATAAATACTTATATCAGGCACTCTAAATTATAATGAGAAAAATATTCATCTTCTTAATTTGAATAATTATTTTGCCAATTTGGAGAGGTATTGTATCTCTACTGATGTAATAGACAAAGAAAATAACAAACTAAAATTCTCTTCCAACTTCCAACAAGTTATAAAAGGAAATAAAATGAATATTTTAGGTCAAGCTGATTATACAAAGATCTCCACATTAAATAGAAAAGGTATGAGAAAGAGAAATTCCCCACTTTTCCAATTTGATGTCTTTACCCCCCTCATTACTTCAATAATATTCTAGGAAAAACGAACCTGTTAGAAGTGGTTTAACTAATCTAAAAATGTCCTATGTTTGAATTATAACTAGATCATTATTGTTTAATGGATGAAAACATAAAGAAAAATATTATATGGCTTTCTTTGGATGAATCAGTAATTCCTTTTTAGTTCCTTTTATCATCATCAAAGCAGCAGCTGTACGACCTCTGAAACTGAGGAAGACCCTTTATCTCTAGATTCTAAAAAAGAAATGATCCTCTTTTT